TTGGTAAAGAATGTGGGGATGACCCTGAGGCAAATTGGGAGGCTTTGAGAAAAAGCCCTCCATGAAAAATTGCCCTCAAAAAACAAAAGCAAAGAAAAGAAATACCGAGAAACAGCCCTCGGTGAGCAACGACCCTCTCTCTTGGGCATGGATTGCTTTTCTGGCCGTGCTTAGACAACCAGAATACCCCAGGCATCAACCTCCCCCCCGGGCGACACACCCAGGTGCCAGGCTGTGGGTGATAATCTTCCTAGCCCTTTTTCCTTTTTTCATTTTATTTTTTACGAGGTCCCTTTGACAGGAACGACCCGTACTCTCTCTTTGGCGTTGCTTTTGTGGCCATGCTCACACGATGACTGTTGGGGAAAAAGCTACCACTCATTATTATGTCTAGGTTCAGTGGGAGATATTAACTGTACAAAAACCGTCCCCCCGCTCTCTCTCTCTCTCTGTGTCTCTGTCTCTCTCTCTCTCTCTCTGTCTCTGTCTCTGTCTCTCTCTCTCTCTCTCTCAGTGTTGTATGTACACTCTGAGAACCCCAGCCATTTGTGATGAACTGCCATTTGGGAGAACGGCCTGCTCCTCCTTGGGCATAGCATTCCTCGTCGGGCCCTGCTCTCCCCAGGGCTGTTGTGGATGAATCTAACCCCCATTACGTATAGATTCAGCTGCAAAACTTAGTGCTTACACCCTGAGAATCCTAGATCCAAGGGCCGTTATTTGATTCTTATCATTTCCTTTGAAAGGATTTCAGAGCTGTCCGCCTTGTCCAATTCCACTTCCCACAGTCTAAAGTACCAGTTACAGTCCCAGTCGCGTTCGTATGTACCATATCCCTAAGTCCCGGGTAGGTAAGTGTCAGTAGGCCTAAGTAGGAAGGTTCTGGTAGGTACCAGGAGGCTTAGGAAAGGTCTGTAGAAGTCAGTAGGCCCTTTTTGTCAGTTGGTGCGGTCAGCAGCAAAGTCCCAGAAAGTCTGTAAACTTCCACAAGCGACAAACAAAGGCAGAGGGCAGCGGACCATAACCTGTAGAGGAAGTCTGGAAGGGGAATTGTGAGGTAGAAAAGTCCAGTTGTTGAAGTCGTCAACGCATGCTCACTTGTGTGACCAGGTGGAACCACGGCTGTGCTATTTTTCGATAGTCCAGTGGACGTGCCATACTCTTTCAGCCTGCTCATCCTTGCAGCACTGTTCAACCTTACATGAGATTGCCCCCGTGCGCTGCTCAATTACAACAACCATTTCCTCTCTCTACACACTGCCCTCTTTTTTTCCTTTTTCGTTTTTTCCACAATACCTGGGCTACGAACGTGTAATCAAGGTATCTCCTATAATTGGTCATTAGATTGATCGCTTGATGGCATTGGTACTGAATTCAACTCAATTTACGTCGATCAATTTGGTTTGTGTACAATGCAGGCATAACTCAGTCTCTCTTATGTCTTTCTAATTTTAAGTTGGTAGCCCCTCAGATCATTGTTCATTAGAGTCAGTCATGATACAAACTCTTGTTCACGATATTCTGTGATATGTTGTTTTGTTTGGTCGATTCTGAAGAGAGTTTGTTTATTAAACCACCACTACATCGGAGGCCATTTTTCCCCACCGGAATCGTGCTGCGTGCCGAAAAGAAAAAGAACCAGTTCGGGAACGATTTCGTTTTTTCCTTTGTGGCCGGCGACATCAGCCATATTGGTCCGGTAGCCCTGTAAACCTGAAAGTTGCGGTGAATCTATTCGGCCAGCCATTTGTTTTGCCTGGTGCGTGTAGTGGTGGTTTAAAATTATTATTCGGTTTTTGCAGGGGGACTTCTTATTATGTTTGCCTTCCTACGTTGGAAAGAAAAAGAATCTCCAACACTCTGTCTCCATAGCTAATCTAAGGACGTTTCCAAGTGGGATGTCAGTTGGCCCAAGTAAGTTGAGGGTTTGGATTAGCAGGCACTCAGAAACTTCTGAGACCACCGCCAAGCAAAGCTGTTGATGGCTGCTTGAAAATCCATGGCTGTTGCATCACAGCCATATGCGATGTGTTGGTGCAAGAAAAAAAACATTCAACACCACATGTTTCGTGCACCTTCAAATGAAGAAAACAAGTGGCCATGCAGTGCTGCCACACATTGCGTTGCAGTGCACCACGCCATGCCATCATGCATTTTAATTTGACCTGCGGTCACGACTTCCTTTAAACTAATTGCCACCGTGTAATCTGAGGCAATGTGAAACACCACTATGCATTTCAAAGCAATACACTGCCATAACTCTCTCTCTCTCTCTCTCTCTCTCTCTCTCTCTCTCTCTCTCTCTCTCTCTCTCTCTCTCTCTCTCTCTCTCTCTCTCTCTCTCTCTCNCTCTCTCTCTCTCTCTCTCTCTCTCTCTCTCTCTCTCTCTCTCTCTCTCTCTCTCTCTCTCTCTCTCTCTCTCTCTCTCTCTCTCTCACTGTGTGAGAGTTTAGAGGGAGGTCCACTTCCAAGGAAACTGCGATCGATGGAGGGGATATTCAAAGTTTTTTGAGGAGTAGATCTTCGGTGGTCTGAAGATGTAATGATTCTTTGTGGAGGAGTTCAGTTGATTGGTGTATGCTCTGGTGTTCCCTGGGTCCTTGGGGGTGGGGCTCTTGGCTTTGGGCCTTGACCCACAATGGTCAAAGGGGTTCTGGGGTCTTGCAGCTCCAGCGTGCACACCAAGGTCTCCACCAATGTTTGAACGGTTACTCCCACACGGCTTCACTACAGGAAGTGGGTCTGCGTCTATGATTTCCACCTTTGCCCACTATATGTTGATCTTCTCATTGCAATCACTTGTTGGGGCTCTGTGACAATCAGAGAGTATCTCCCGGACTTTCCTGTACACCAGACTATGTCACTGCTCAGAATTAGACAAGCCAGCAGTGCATATTAAGTCCCTTTCCTGTACACCAAACTATGCCACTGCTCAGAATTAGACAAACCATAGTGCATGTTAAGTCCCTTTCCCACAGGCATGCAATGCAAACCTCACTCTTGTCGGCCATTGTTTCTGTTCTAGTGGAGCTTCGTTCGTTCAATCAATTCTGCTTTGCTGCCTTTGCATTGTTTGTTTGTTTGTTTTTTCGTTTTTATAAAGAGCAACGGTCTTGGGATATCATCACTGAAATGACTGGCCCCAGGTAATCCGGAATTATTTTATTCTGTCCATCTGGTTTTGGATTCGAACTTGGGTCTGTATTTCAACAGTTCATGGGTGGACCAAGTGTGCCAGGCCAGTTGGTACAACATGAACTGGTAATGCCACAACTTCCTCGGTGCACGGGCACACGCACACCGGGCATACTCGTGAAATATTTGCATGTGTGAAAAAACACTTGTTTTTCTGTTTCTTTTTTTTTTTTCTTTGCATTTCCGTGCCACGCATGCATATGTGTGTGTGTGTGTGTGTGTGTGTGTGTGTGTGTGTGCAATTGGGTGGTGGTGGAGGGGTGGGGGAATGGTGTGGCAGGGTGCATGGTGCCAAGTAGGTGGTGGGGAACTTAGGACATAGGCATTTGAAAGATGTCCAGGGATGAGAAATCACAAAGGCTGCTTGTAAATGTGGAGGATGATTGATTCCACACATGCCTGATCTAGTAAGTGGTTGGATATTTTGATATTGCCCCGGAATAGGCGATGCTGAATCTGGGTGTTTTTTTGTGAAGCTGGTGATGGCAGCATCCTTGTTCCCATGACAGCTTATGGGGCAACTGATCATGATGCATGGTCAAAAGGATGATTTCTCTGTGTTGTGTTTCAGCACACTGTCTTTGATAGTTCCACGTCTTTGTTCTTGCACTGTTTGTGGTTGCTGGTCTGCTGTTGGGTGAGGCAAGTTGGTTGGTGAATGTCATTCTATTTCTGGTGATGTATGCTGAATCCCCCAGGTGACCTCCACCTGACCGTTATTTCTGCATACATATTTTATTATTTTGCCTTAGCCAGATTCTCATGGCTGGCCATTACTGGTCCCCCTACTGGTCAGCATCGATCTCCTGCTCAGTTATCTAACCAGCACGGATGGATCAGCAGTTGGCTGGAGCAGAGGATTTGCGAAGTAACTGACGATGCATACCCCCTCTTCTCCGCTCCCTGCTCATCTCCTTCTCCTCCATTTTGACCTCCTCCTCCTCCTCCTCCTCCCTCTGCTGCTCTTCTTCCTCTCTGCTCCCTCACCTTCTCTTCCTTTCTACGACTACCGCTATGTTGTTATTACTATCTAGTATCTACTCTATCTAAGGTAATATAATTACCGTTGTTATCGTCGTTGTGCAACGGTAATTTTATTACAAAAATATATTATAACAAAAAGAACAAGAGTAGACAGTAAGTCACAACATCTTCGCACTCTTACCTTTCCAACATAGCAGTAGTCATGCGTAATTGACAGTGTACTAAGCGTACTCATCGTAGTTTGGTCAATATCAGTATACTTTGGTTAATCACAAGGATTCTGGATATAAAAAAGCAGTACTACTTCAGAAAAAGACTAAAAAGTATCTATATCTCAGCGTTTTTTTCTTGTATATGTTGTACTACTATGATAATGATCACCATCGGTCATGATCGGAATCATTGAGCCCCTAACTTAGCCCATGAATGGTGCGATCTTCCCCTTCCCGGTTGGCCCTGCACACTTGTCCCCTTCCTTTCTAAAGCTCCCCAACCTGTCCATGGTGTAGTAGGGTTTCAAATTTGGATGCTGCCAGAGGTGTGTATGGCCCTCTACCTGTGGACCCGTGGGCTGTTTCCCAAAACACCCTCAGAGAGCTCTGACGGTCTAGTTGCCTCCTCACAGGTTAAAAACGTTCATGTCAGTGGTTAGACCCCCAAATGGGCGATTTCGCTCACGTGGTTAGGAGGCTTGTTATCTCTTTGGCTGCATTGATTTTTCACAAATGTTTTCAACACCAGGCTAGCAGAATACCTTGCTGAGCAGGGGTCACTCTGATTGATCTTGTTGTCGTTGCTGGTTCGTTAATCTTGTTATACAGGTTAGAGGAGGGCAATTCGCATTTGTGCCGTCAAGGGTTATGCCATTCTCCCAATGGGTCCAACGGGTCTCTGCCTTCAGATCAATCAAATGACAGTTCCAAGTCAGCAGACAGTGGGAGTCCTGCATTGTCTTCCGTACCCTCGCCGAAATCGCCATCCACTTTGAGCAGGACACTCATTCTGGCCCTTGCTCTTGTCATTCTTGTGATTGCGGGAACAGTAGTTGCAATTGTCATGGTGGCACATCGGATGCCAAAGAGAAACAAACCCGTGGAGAGTCCTTCTCCTTCGGTACGTCTGGTCGACCGGAAAGGTAAGAGTGCGGAGGTGTTGTGACGTGTTGTTTATTTTGTTTTTGTTTGTTGTTTGTTGTTGGCATACTGTGTCAAAGAGGTCTTAAACCACCACCACTGTTCCAGCTGGTAGACAATGGTGCTGTGGATAAAATGAATACCTGGGTCGAAAGGCCCGGGTAACCTTCTCAAGGTTCATCGTGACGGGGATAGATTGTTGTAATTATCGATCTTGAACGAGGAATGCCTAGTAAGCGCGAGTCATCAGCTCGCGCTGATTACGTCRCTGCCCTTTGTACACACCGCCCGTCGCTCCTACCGATTGAATGGTCCGGGRGGGGGGRGGGGGGGTKGASGGGGGARGGGGGGGGGCGGAGGGCGGTGGCGGGGGGAGAGAAACTCTCGGGCTATGAACCTGGATTGGCCAAAGGTGCATATCTGTATCCTTCAGCTAGTGAACTGCTAGATTCTCTTTTATGTAACTGGGGATTTGTCTCCTCTCCATCAACTACAGCCATCACGCTGTGCACCTCTCTCTCAAAATTTGGGCTACCACCCAGGTCGCCCGGGTCACCTTGTTTTCCCAGACGGCCCACCCATCCATGCTAGGACCGGGGAAGGTCCCAGCAAAGAAAAAAAAAAAGAAAAAAGAAACCAAGAAAAGCTATTGTATGGGGAAAAATAAACTGAACAACTTTTACCTCAGGGTCACATCGAAATTCTTTACCAAATTTACAACAAGAAATATTTATTTATCTGGCCCGGCAGGGGAAGTTGTCCTGGACCACCACTCTGGTAGCCTAGCAGAAATGGCTTTTTTGTTTTGCCTTTTCCCCTTCTTGATTGGTGCTGAACTGTTGTCGGATTCTAATGACTTCAATGCGCTGGAATAGCTGATAAAGAGGGTGAGGCTGTAAGAATAATCAGGCTTGTTGTTTGGGCTCATTCCCTGGGCTTATGCCTCAGACAATTGCTGTACGTACCCTCCTGTTGCCGTCTTCTTCTGGGTATGTCCCGGAGGCATTTCCCATCAGTATTCTCCTGCTGCTGACGTCTTCCGGGTATATCCCTGAGGCCAGCCTAGCTGTTTGGCTGCTCTCAGGTAAATGTACCAGTGACACACTCCCTTGCAAACACCTTGTGAAATGGTACCCTTGCTCAGACATTTGTACGTGACTTTTTATAATGAGTTCGCGCTGGTCTTCACAAGCATCCACCACTCGTCGTCCCAGTTGAGAGCAGTGCCGAAGTCAGAATGAAATTGTGTGTGCTCACTCCCTCTCCCTCCTCCTCTCCTTGCCGAACCAGTGCTCATCTCTCTCACAAAAACGATAAGTCCTATGTCATCTGGTATCCCATTCAGTGCAGTCTCTTATGTTCCCGGCCTGATATTTGGCTTGTCCTGTTAAAAATGCCCTCATCCCAAACTCGCCTGTAACGGAACGTCGACTTTAGAAGCAGTGCTGCAGCAGTGATTCTGTTTTCTTTGAATGCAGAATTATTTTACAGGGTTCATCTGATTGTATCCGGGTTCGAACTTGGGTGTGTATGTCAACAGTTCATGGGTGTACCAACTGAGCTAGGCCCGTTGGTGCAGCAGCGACTTTTGATTCACAAATTTATGCCCACAACGGGAACTGGGCTTGTATGTTTTCGCTCTGTTTTTGAACTGTTTTCGTTGTCTCGATTATGTTTTTGTTGGAAAAAAAAGCAGCATCTCATCCATGCAATCCAGCACTCCAGGTGTTTCAACATCTGGGCACCTTGGCACAAAAAAAAATAAAAAATGGAGGAAGATGGCCAAAGGAAGGGGAGCTTCTGGGTGGGTTGGGCTGGGGTGGGGCGGGGTGTGGTGTGGTGGGGAGGGGGGAGCCAGTTAGTTGAATATGCTGTGGCCAGATCTCTCTTTTTTTTTTTTTTTTTTTTTTTTTTTTTCTGTGGCCAAATCTCACTCACATGGATTCTTCATTTTCAGTTATTGGTTTTGCCGATCGACGGCCAGAAAGGAAGAATCTGGCCAAGTGGAATGTCAACTCTCGTGGTGTTGTGCTGATGCTTTGTATGCCTCGTGGGCAATCTGTGTACAGGCCAAAAGAGACACCACAATGCAATTTCAGGGATGCAGCCATACTGTCAAGTATTCACGTATCTTGAACTGAAGACGGCAACAAACAACTTCTCAGAGGAACTTGGGAGGGGTAATTTTGGACGTGTATATAAAGGTGTCCTTAGCAATAACCAGGCAGTAGCAGTGAAAATCAGGAAAGACGAGGCGTGCTCTCGCCAGTCAGAATTTGTGAAGGTATGCCTCTAAAGGACACGGAAGTCATCCAGCATGACACTCTATCCAAAAATATCTTGGCATCACCCTCTTCTTGCCTTGCACCCTCTGGCACCCGGCCCTCCTGCGGCGCCACACTGTCAACACCACCAGGACCAGTCTTCTGTGTATCTACCTTTTTGTGCGCCTAAAGTCTAGTTGGGCCATTTGTTTTCTCACTTGCTTATGGCTGCAAGCAATCCCATCTCTCTCTCTCTCTCTCACACACACACACACACACACACACACACACACACACACACACACACACACACACACACACACACACAGACATGTCGTCTTTTGCCCTTTATCCTTTTATGGATTTTCGTGATGAGTCGGTGAAACTCCGACGGAACAGTTTGTCACAGCCCCTCGTCTAGTGTCCTCTTTTCCCTCTCTGCCTATGGTTTACATATATTATCTGTGCAAGTGTACCGGTTGACGGCAGACAGGTGTGTGGGCACTTGGCGCTTAACCACACAAATGCGGCCAACCTTCCATCTTCTACTGTATTTGCCTATCTATACCTTGTGTTTGGTTCTTGGATGGAATGAGAGAGAGAGTTTCGGGTATTTTGAAACACACACAACGAGTGTTACATGCTGAAAGCCTACACACGGGCCCCTCACGGGACCCGAGGGTGGAATAGGACCCCCAGGTCGCGTCACCGCAACCTGAAGGCCCTATGGCATTCTTACTTGGGCCTGCATCAGAAAAACGCCAGCTTTAGATTATTTTTATATTCTTTTATTTATTTATTTGCTGCTGTTTTTCTAACGGTTGTACTGTTGTCCGTTTTGTGGCCAGGTACACGTTTTAGGACCAGGGCCAGATTCAGGCCCAGAGGCTGAGCTCCTAAAAACGTTTGGACCTTTTCTTTTGTTTTCGAACAGATTGCTACCTCTTCGGACCCAGGCCGACGTTGAGGCCGGATACGTCCGCACAGGACCGGTTCGAAGCCAGGTACCAGGAAACTGAATCCTGGACAGGGCCTGGACGTCCGGTAGGGACCCAGGCAGGCCGTTTTAGGCCAAGGGCTGAACCAGTTTCAAAGCCTGCGATCTGGACCGTGGAT